AAGCAGAGAGGACAACATTGTAAATTAGAGTTGGAATCAAAAAGGGGAGGAGGGTGCGGAGGTTAGAGGGAGATTACACTCTTAAAGTTTATTAAGGACAATAGCAAATACATTCAGTTGCCAGTTTATTTGCCACATGAAGCTGAGAGTAATTCAGTCTAATACAACAAATCCAATTTGCAATAGATGTAGTTCTTTGTTGTTTTATCCTTACCTTGCTCTGTTTACATTGGGCACTCATTAAAGTCTATGTTTTAGTTCCTTTACTCAGCCTTTAAATGGAATTCACCATTGAGATTATACATTCAAAATTATTCCTAATTTATTCAGCATTCATCTATCTTTACACCTTCAGTGGCTTATCTCACCCTGGGTATTGTTTACGAGGTACTACAATATCTGATGTTGACAAATAACACAAAGAACTAGGATCTCTTACTTTTAAACCTTCTTTTTAGAGTGTTGCTAGATTAAGGGACTTTCTGTGTGTTTTGCTGTTGCTCAGACATTTCTTAGAGCAGCTTTGCTACTTTTATATCAGATTCATGGGCTCTTAGCAGTAAAGATAACTGACAGCAACATAGCTGATATGCCTACCTCATTGTTACCCACTCTTGCTATTCTGCCCTAAAGCAAGGCAATTAACCCTGCCATAAGATAGCCCTGGCTAGTTGACGTTAAAAAACACCCACAAGTACAAAAGAGTGTGTGGAGTTAATTAAAGTTTAGCAATAGAGGTGTAATAAATATCTGATTTCAATTAGGGATTCAGGTCAAATGTCTAGAATAGGGCTGCAAAGATTCAGACATCAGCTGGGCCTGTCCCCTGACCGGGCAATTCGATCAGAGTTTCAGTGACACTTGGAAATGAAGCTTAATCTTGCCTTCTCGTTTGATCACATTTTATACCGAGTAATCTAAACTTCCTGCTGCATATCATTGCACTGTCCCCTGTCTTTTTCATTTGTTCGCAGTTGGTTCAGGGTCAATGTGGTTATACGATGCACTATCCTTTTCAAAGCGTGTGTGTTAGATGAGATTTAAGGACTTTTTTTTCCCTTTAGACATACAATATCAGTAGCCAATGAGTGTAAGGCTGATAGAAGAGTGAACACTGAAAGATAAAAATGATGTGTCCTTGTTGTATTCACTGATTGCTATCTTGAGGTTTGATTTTACAACAAATACTTTGAATTTCACCAGAAAATGAATGAGACGTGATGTTGCAAAAAAGAAAAATAAGCACTTGATAAACTGAGTATATCTAGCAACAGGAAACCAACATAAAACATAAGTCATCAGCCAGTACAATCAGTGTTTAAGGGATGGAGAAGTAATATGGCAATAGTTAATATGATTTCTTTTCTTAATGTTTTACTGTATATTCAAAAATGATGATGTATGCATACTATACCATCTCAAAACATTTGCTGACAGGAGAATAAAATTGTGACATACAATTGCATGTTTCAGTGTGTCTAGCAATGTAACTTATCTCAGTGCTGAGAGAGAAACTTGAGACGAGGTACGTGAGCATGTGAGCACGCCCCTGGTAGCCAAATCATCACAGGCAAATGCGTCCTTGGTGGAGGCTTGTGTTGCCCATCCCAGAGAGCTAATGGAGCCATGGTTCAAGCAACACAGAGAGAGAGAAAGGAGGGAGATGAATGTCACCCATGCTCTCATATGTCATATTGTTAGCCATAGATATGAACAGAGTGCTTCAAGGTTGAACGTGCAGCTGAGACATGAATAATCTATCAGAGGTTTCCTCCGACTAAATAGATGGAAGTATGTCTACATGGATTATTTATACTTTAATATGCACACGGTGAATGGACAGTCACCTCTGAGAGGATTACGACATTGTAGGGGCCAAGTTAATTGTGTGTGTCTGGAATGTACTGTAGTGGTTATTCAGCTTGGTTACATGTTTGTGGCTTGGTTGATGGATTACAGTAATAGCATGTTTGGTTAGAAACTGTATTCAGGTTTGTATTATTTATGGACAATCTTTTGACCAAATCATCGATTTTTGCGCTTTGACATGTTTATATTTTCATACTCAGATCTTAAATCACTCTTGCATAGACAAATGCTTCTCAGTGTCTGGAGATGCATTTACTCACTCACCCCCCCACACTATTTAAATGTAGTTCACCTCAAACTGGCCTGTCCTTTGCGTTCCACCTCACCTTATTTCCTCTTCACATGACTGCCTCGACATTGGAAATGTCAGGATCTTTTTGCCTGTTTGGCTCCTTCAAACATTTGTGAAGTGTTAAGCTCATCTCTACAGATCAGGAGGGCAGTCTCTCAGGAATCTAGGCTGCTGACCCACAACACAGCAAAGACAGCCTAGCCAAGTGCACTCAAGCACATCCACTTTGCCTGCTCATTCACATCAACAAAAGATTGTATTAGTCCCAAGTTTGTGGTCTTTAAAGCAGCACTCTCACTGTTCTGTACAGGTCCATGCATCACATAATGGAAATAATGGGGGTGGCTTTACAGCTCCTAACAGTGATGCTATTGTCTACTCACATTTAGTTGAGAGTAAGAGTGGAAGTGCTGTTCAGCTCTTAGCAGCTTCATTCTAACACCTTTAAATGTTGCCATTAAAGCAAAGCCTAGAAGAACATTTTCAACTCCTGTGTTAACATTTCTCTCAAAATTCCACCTGCTGACACTAGCTTCAGTCTTCAAACTACAGCAGACTTGTTAGGAGAAGATAAATTACAGTGATTTAAAATATGTCTTTGGTCCCACACTCAGTATGAGGATGAACATTTGTTATGAGGATACGGAGGTTAAATTATTAAAATTCAAAAGGGGAGGTGAAAGGTGACATTTTCTGTTAATTATAAAAGCATGGATATAACTGACACGACAGTTATATCCATGCTGTGTGTGTGTGTGTGTGTGTGTGTGTGTGTGTATGTGCACACGCCTGGTATTACTTGCGTTATGGGGGACTGAAACCTGTTTATATACTCACACTGTGGGGATTCAGCCTTCCTTGTGGCAAACAGAATCTAGTCCCCATGTAAATCATTGAAGTTTAGGGTGAAGACTTGGTTTAAGGTTAGAATGAGGTTAGGGTTAAGCAAGTAGTGGTTATGGTACATCTCCAGGAAATGAATGTTGAGTGTAAGGAAAGTCCCTGTGAGGAATAAAAACAAATGTGTACGGCCTGGTATTACCAAGCAGCAGCCTCCGAGGCTTTGGAATGAAGCCAATGCAGAAGTGTTACAACCTGCAGTTCCTCAAATGGCCACTTGAGGCTGGCTCCAAAAGGTAGTCTGTGAGGATTGTTCCCATGTTACAATGCCAAACCTTACAGAAGAAATAAACCTGTTTTATAGCCTGGTACAAAAAAAAAATGGTTTGACATCATCAAACAGGTGACATCCAGTAAGGTTTGTCCAGTCAGAGGGTACTACTCATCTCGTGGTACAATAAATCTGTCCACACACTCATGTTGTGGGAACTTAACATCATTATGGGGACAAAAACCAAGTCCCCAAAATGTTAATCATTGCACTTTGGAGTGATGACTTGTTTTAAGGTTAGGGTGAAATTAGGGTATGTATCCAGGACGTGAATATAAGTCAATGTATTGTCCTCTGACGTTATGGAAACACAACATGCAGTTGTGTGGGTATGTCATAGCTTATGCAGTTCTGTTGCAGTTTTTTTTTGTTTTTTTTTTTTGTATTTTAGCAAACAAGCAAGCTTTGCACTGCTATAGGAAATTAGAAGTGTGGTGTTTGCAGTGTTTGGTTCCACAAACAGGCAGGGATGCATCACATATTTCAAAACCAATATGCAAATTAGTCAGAGCTGCTGCATTTGTTTAGAAGCTAGTGCAAGCAACTTTTGGATGTTAACGGAGAGCAGCGTTAAATGCTGGTATGTTATTGCATTTGTGGGTTTGTTTAACCTGTATCTTGTGAAGTTTACCTTCAGAGGCCTGAATAGGCAGCATGTTGAGATGTGACACGAAGCCTGTCCCTGATAAAACAAATGCCAGAAATAAGTAAATACACATTAGTGTTTTAATTTCCATTCCATCAGATTTTGTTGTAAATGATTACTTACAGTATATTATGTTGTCTAATGTGTGGATGTGAAACAAGGAACTAGTTGTCCTAATTAATTTCTTGTGTATGGTCCTTGCTGTTAGGAACCTGTCTTTCTGTTTGTCTTCACTTGTTTTTTTTTTTATCTCATGCTGCCAATGGAAAAATTCCATTTGTGGGACAACAGATGCTCCATTTTTTCTCTATTTTTTGCTTCATGCCCAAGAGGAGGAAAAAAAATGTGCCGCTTTTTTATTTTATTATTTTTTTAACCAAGTTCTGGATCTGTTTGACACAGGAACGAACACTTCCATAATCAGCCAGAGTGTTCATCCTTCTGAATAGAGATGAAAGAGGGGAACACACACTCACAGTTATACACACATGCGTGCACACAACAAGGAACCCACAAATAAACAGGCACAAACACACAGGGAAGAAGCACGAGCCATTTGGCACAGTCTCTCTGTCTGGGGAGGGCTTCAAAGCCCACTGACATGAATTTATGATAACGGCACTATGCCTTTGCCAAACCTCAACTGTTGTTGTTGGGGTTTTTTCTCGCTTCCTTTCTATCCTTTCTGTATGCTCTGCCATCTCCTTGATCAGAGCTTTGGAAAATGGTAGCAGGTGTCCCCCAGTCACTGGAAAAGGTGTGTGTGTGTGTGTGTGTGTGTGTGCGTGTGTGCATTTATTTGTGCCTTTGGAACTGGATATCCTTAGCTGGCTCTTCCGTTTTACAGCATACCATTAGGTTTGGCTCTCCTTCCCTAACTTTGAGCCCCAACTCTTTGTAGAGTTCAGTTTCATAATAATGCTTTGATTTTATTACCCTCTCACTGAGTTGGTTTATGCACACTACTGACATAAATATCACTTTGTTCTCCATCCATCCCCTCCCCTTCTTTCTATCTGCAGATGAGGATTGTGTGAATTGTACAGAGGAGTGCAGAGTACTGGGTCATTCTGACCGCTGCTGGATGCCCCAGTTCCCTGCTGGAGGAAACCAGGCAGAGGGAATCGACTACCGCAACAACATGTTTGTACCAGCGGGCATGGAGACTGTGCCCGAGACAGAGACCTATGAGACTGTCAACCCCAATGGCAAGAAGACATTCTGTACATTTGGCAAAGAGAGACGTGACCACACTATCCTGGTTGCCAATGTCAAACCCTATTTGAAGGCGAAACGTGCCCTCAGCCCACTGCTCCAAGAAGTTCCCTCAGCCTCTAGCAGTCCTACCAAAGGTTGCTCCACCACGTCTCCCTGCGCCTCAGTTAAAAGTCCAGCTGACGGAGCTGAGGGCAAACCTCCACCTGCCACCTGCTCTGGCCACTACGGGCCTCCTGATGGTCAGTACCTGTCACCAACCAAACAAACCAGAGACCAGGGGGTCTACCCACCCTTGCCTCCCTCAGACCCGGTGGCCAAGGTGCTTGCTGAGGCCCGGTCCAGGATCAGCCAAGAGGCAACAGGTGAAATGGAGTGTGTCTTGGAGCAGGTGGAACCCGAGGGGAACCGTGACCGAATGGATGCTGACCAGGTGGTGAGAGACATCAACAAACTGTTGCAGGACTGCAGAGGAAGTGAGACCACTGGCACACTCAGGAAGTGACACAAAGGACTGCAACAAAAAGAAATAGGGAGGTAGAGAGAGGAATAGTAAGGTATTCCAGAAACTCTCATGCCAAAACTGTCACCAAAATAACTCAAAAAGGTTAAATGGCCCTTATGATAGGAGCCCTTTTCACTGTATTTGTTGTTGAAAGTATCAACACTGGACATATAATGGGAACATTTATTATATCAATTAAGTGGCACCAGTTTTGGTGCTAAGATCCTTACCAACACAAAGGAACTGGGAATCAAGCATCTGAATTCTTTTTTTTTTTGTTTTTTTGTTTTTTTTTTTTTTTTTTTTTTTTGTTTTTTTTTTTTGTTTGGTTTGTTTTTGTTTTTTTGTTGTTGTTTTTTTTGGATTATTAAGCGAATTGCAGAGGATTGTGCCTCTGGCATCTCACAAGCTATTATCTAAGTGCCCACCAGCTCATAAGTGTGTTATTCATGGTCTCTCGTGAAATCCTACATATCTAAGTGTGTGTAGGCAGTTTTCTGTTATGTGTGATGGCCATAGAAACTGAATGGAAAAGGACTATTTATGGTCAGACATGACAATCGATGCGGAAACAGAAACAAATTCTAATCTATCCGGGACAGTGAAAACACAACCTTATCTTTTCTGACTTTAATATACAGTAGGTGTTTAATGTGTAATGGATCCTGTATCTGAACATGAAGAGATTAGTTAATCAGGGGTGTGTTTGCAAGGGTTGGTTATGGACTCTCCGCCAAAGGAGAATTATTAACAGTGTAACAGTGTTTCACCTGTCATTTGTAGCCACATATGTAAGCAGTGTCTCTCTCACGCCTCTATTTAAACATTCGTGATACTGACCGGTGTAGTAACACCAGTTTTACACATGTGCATTACACTTTGCGTATACACATGCTGACACATTCACATGCAAATACATACACATATACACACTAATGCTTACACACAACAAATGGCCATCTGTGTAACTGTCTTATACATGTACATCATCAGCTTTCAGTCCCTTGTGTACAGTGAATTATCATGTGTGTGACTATGCCTTAAGGCAATCACGAGTTGTATAAAAAGGGACATTTTTCCTCAACTGTGAAAAGATGATATCTATATAATTATATAGATAACTATATGTATGAATCCATGTATAGTGTCCAAATATTAACAAAATATTTATACATTAAAAAAAGACAAAGAAAAAAGAAATGAGAAATCTCAGCAAAAAGTGTCCAAAAAGTCAAGAGTGGGGTATTAACTTATAGAACCGGCAAGGACACTGCCTTTGTTTCGAACACAAATATTCAATAATATAAATAATTAAGAAAATGTTCCTTCACATTCTCACTATACATAATATCATTATATGTGTAAATGTATCCAATTTAGATGTGTTTACATCAAAAAATTGACATATTTTTATTGATTTTATTACAAATTCTGTGCATTTTTGCCAAATTGTTATGTGTACAAAAGCTATATTGTGTATTTTATTAAATTAATATATAGTTGTGTTGCAATATACATGGGCTTATATTGTATTTGGCAAAGGTTGCCTTAGTAGCTGTCGAACTCTGTGAGTTTGCTTTAGTTTGGGTTTTTGTTGGTGTTTTTTTCCCTTGCTATTCTGCATCTTTGCAGGCTGGCTTCAGTGCTTTCGAGATGTCGCCTCTTTTTACCCTGAGATCCAACTGGATCGCATACAATAACTGTTCAAAGCTTAATGAGCCAGCTGATCTAGAATACAATTCAAACCAACAACAAAAAAGCAACAACCAACAACCACAAAATAACAGTTTGAATATTTTTACTGAGCAGATTTTTACAGGGCAGCTATTTTCTTTAACAATATCTAGTATGCGTATTTTGTGTTCATTATGTTTTTACTTTCTTTCCAAAAAAGAAACCTGCCATATAGAAAGTGGAGTGGTTTCCTTGGTGATCATAAAACTGCCTTACTGTCTCTGCGGAGAGCTTGTTGTATCTGTGGAGCTTGTGACTGCTTATAAAATCCTGGTCCACCAGAATGTGCATTTTTTATAAAGGACCAAAAGAGGTTCTATTTCAGCAGTCTGTGTTGTTTATGTACGTACTCCTTCTCGATACATGTTAGAATTCTCATACTTTGCAGAGAAACTTGACATCTGAAATTCTGTCTAAAGTTACTTTGGATTTAATGTCTTTGCTGTTTAGGTAAATGGTTTATATACCCCAGTGTCTTCACATTCAGGCTTTCTTAAAAAAATATACAGACATTTATTTTTGAAGATTTTGGCACATTTGCGCCACTCTCTAAAGTAATAATGGGAGGTGCTTTTTCTAATATTCTCTGACAGTAAAATGCGCAGAACAGTAGACTATTAGACTAGGTGTGTTTTGGAAAATGTGACCACAATCACCAAATCTTTGTAAGATGCAGCCATGAGAGGGAACAGCGACTTAAATTATATGGCTCCTGGTGTGCTTCCTGTATCAAGTGTATCTGAGCTGGACTGGAATTTTGACAGCAGATATAACACATTCTGTCCTGCAGACATGTCAGATTTGAGTACTTCTGTATTTATGCTTGTGCTTCTTTTCCTTAATTGAGGTTCACATTTGAATGTTCTTCTGTCCTTCTGCATCTTTGCTGTATCTTTTGCCTACTTGCCATCATTTTTATTTCACTATTCATGTTGCTATTTTTCTGCTCTGCAGCTGTTTGCTTTCTTGCCTCTGCGGAGCAAAGGAACTGTTGCCTTTTCTCCTCTCTTTCGCCTGTAAAGTATTTGGTTTTGGTTTACCCTTGCTCTTTTCCTGAGAGATGGCAGAGAGGGCTTGGAGGATTTTTATGGGATAGGAAATATTTATGATTATTTTTAAATGAGATTTTCTTGTTGTCTCTCAAATATCTGGATAAAACATGCTGTTCAAAGTGTACACTACAACTGTAATCCTAATAATAATGCCGATACACAAGTGGACATGCGCACACACCCAGACACACACATACACAAACACCTGGGCACTTCAGCAACACACTGCCTTTTATATAAATACATAGCCCCTTAAAGGGTCCAGCCTGAAAGAGAGGGCAAAGCACTACCCAGACAAATGTGACACCTCCTCACTCATCTTCATGGTTTACTTTCCTTTTATCTCATTGTGCTCAGTTTTCATGCTGGATTCTCTTCAGTGTGTATATTTGTGTGTGTGCTTGATTTGCTTTCATGCTGAATTGTTTAACAAAACACTTCCTTTCTTCTTATTTAATTTCTAACATCTGTGTACTATAGATTTAATTCCAACTCACAAATAACCTCTGTTGCTGTGGTTGCCTCTCTTTTATTTGGCCATTAATTAAAACAAAGTGCAGGTCACCCCAGGATTCTGCCTTGTGCTCAGAGTCTGACTGCCACAAACAGTCACTGTCACAGTTCAGGCACATTTTAAGTGCTGTCCTCTCTAATGTTGTTCCCTTGGCCCGGCCACTGTCTGCACACTCACAAACTGTGGGCAGGAAATGAGCTGGATCCAGTGGAATGAAGGTATTCTTTAAAGCCATGGCCCCTCTCTCAGGCTATTTGCTGTCTAATAGAGCAGAGGCTGCTGTTGAGGTCAACATATAGTTGAAGACTGAGCATAATGTAAGGCCTCTCATTATTGTCTAATTACACAGTGTAGGCGTCATAGACTGTTGGCAGCACATTACTCAAATTTAGAGTGGGTTAGTTTTGCCCATTTCATACTGTTGGTTTTACCAAGTGATTAGGACAGGGCCTTGCTGAATGTGATTAACCGCTTCTGGTCTCATACTGATGCAGGTGTACACAGATGCAGACAGGCACTGCCTCACACACACATAGAGACAACATGTAATTTTGGTTAGTTAATCTAAGCACCCAGTGTTTGTCAATGTCATCCGCTCACTCCCAAGCCCACACTGATAGTATAGGGCTCCGCGCTACAATGGGCAACTGGTGGATATACCAGAGACATTCATTTGTATGGATTATTTCAACTGCTATTGTCTAAAGGCTGTGTTCATTGTGATCTATCTGAAAAAAAAGATGAAAAGATCAAATAAAAAAGCAGTTACTAATAATGTTTGCTCTGGTGATTGTATGAGTTAGTTGAGGAATGACTAGTCACAACTGTTATGTCATTTCTCTTCTCACAAGAGATAACCCAATATTGTTGTTGTCCCAAGCATCTACACGACCTGTTTTGCCATGTCAAATAGGCTTGCATTGTTTACTTTCATGGTGCCAGTTTACTTCAGAAAAGATTAAATGGGTTTGTCAGTTGTCTACTTTGGTGATAAAGGCACATATGCAAGCAGCTTAGGTCAAAGGTCAAAGTGTTTATTTGTCATATGCACAGTTAGGAAACGTGTTTCCCTGTACAATGAAATTCTTACTTTGCCATCCACATGAATGCCACAAAATACAAATGAAATTTATAATAGATAAATAAGTAACACAAAATCTAAGGCTTATACCCAAATATTTGCAAATGAACTTCAGATATGCATTAATTTTTATTTTTAATTGTTGAGACAAATAAATTGGTGCTCAGAATTACTGTAGTTGAACTAATGCTTTTCAAATAAGATGTTGCATCCACCCTTCAGCTAGGCTGCATTCAGAGGCCGAATAGAAATCTCTTCAACACAGGCCTGTGTGGTTAGAGAGATGTACTGCATGTTCCCCATTTGCTCAGTCAAATCAGGCTTCCTTAAGTTGTCATTTTTGGCCTTTAGGTGTTAGATAGTCAGAGTGGAACCTATATACTGGCTGTGCCAGATGTGATCTTCATCATGGTGCTTTTAGTTCCCCACAAAGAATAGTAAACAATCTTTTTTTTCTTCTCATTCAGGGCTATCACATCTTAATTGCACAAAGCCTTCACATAAACTGGCAGTGGATATTTTCTTGGTGCTGAAAATCTGAAATATTAAAAAAGTTTTTAAAAAATTCAGTTATAAATCTAAAATTGTTTGATGAATAACTCATGTTTGTAGTTGTCTAAAGACCAATCATAATACATTTAGATTTTTTTTAAATTTTCTGGGAATGGCAATATTAGTGTCTGTTCAAATAATCAGTGCCAAAGAGAACATGTTCAAATACATCAAAATAAAGTATTTGTGGAATTTTTATTTTGTGAAGAGGGAATGTTTTACCCCATACTGTATTTGCAGACCATTGATATGCACCAAGGTTTTTTTTCTTCCATTTGTATCTAACCAGTTGCCTCAAGGCAGACGTTAATTAAAAAGATAGCAGAGGTGCTCTCTTAAAAACACCACTTCTAGGACTGCAGTGGCTACATGGTAAGAATTTTTTTTTACCTGCAGCATACCTTCAAGCAAATAACAGCCTGTTCTTTGTACATGTCAGTCACCTTCAATTATAGCCTCTCAGAACTTTATAGATCACAGAATTTGTTATAAAAACTCTAACAAAGTGTGACTTATTAATAAATAGCAGACTGTGTGGTAGGTAATGAGCAGCAGCAGCAAGCGCACAGTGTGCACAGGCTGAAGCTAAAATACAATCTGAATGTAAAAAAGAACTAACATTTTTATGTCTGTCAACACACAACACTTTGGACATCATGCATGTATCTGTCAGCAACATACGCCTGCAACAGAAATATTAGGGTGATTATCATGACAAAATAATACTGTAAGAACATACATATAGAAGAGAACAAGCACAGCTTTGGTGGATAATTTAGTCTATTCATTTAGTGGTTTAGTCTCTGGCAAATTGCATTAGGAATTTCAGAGTAACACCAGCTAGAAAAAAAAAATCATATTTCTGCATTTTAATCAAGGTCCTTGATCCAAATAACTGTGCTAATGGGATTTAATCAAGTACTGTTCTGTATTGAGCAGACTAAAAGGGTAAATGGAGAGGAGGTCTTTTCAACATGAAGAAAAGAAGGTATTCATCATATTCTATTGTTAAAGGACAAGGGTCCTTTCATTTGTAGTAGTGTTGGAGAAGGTATGGTAAATTGAAATACGTGTGAAGTGCGTGTCAGACTGTGAAAGGAATACTGTGTGGTATGGTTGCGTAAAAGATGTGAGAGACACGGAGGTTGAATGTATGTCTCACGACAGGAACAGTTATGTGTGACCACTTTAATTTATCGCCACAGTGGAAAAAAAAACAAGTATGACCGCTGTGCCAGAGTGGGTGTTTAAGAGAATCACATTTCATCAAACAGAAGAAGAAATGATGGCACATGGCATTATGTCAAACTATGTCATATGCCTAAATAACAATGCATGGCATGGTGAGAAGAGGTTTTGTGTTGTTGTATGTAAATTGCATCCAAACTTCCTTGTCAGAAAAAGAACCATTCTTTAGTCTGTATCAAGTGGAACCTGTTTATACTGTATGTTGTATGCTTTGAAGGAAGATGTTACACACTGTCAACTGCTGATGCCATACATACTGTGTAAACATCATGTGATGCTTACTTGCTATAAGGCAGCAATAATGCTGACAGTGTCTCCTCCCATCATCTGAAGTGATTCAATTCATTCATACAGCAATTAACATATGTTCTTGAATGCAGCCAGTGAAGAAACGTGTGACCGCACCCAACACCTCATACTGCCAGCATTCTTCCACATTCAAGCCCTCCTTCTCAGTCACCTCAAAGAGAAGCAGTGTGTTAAGTATTAAAGTATTTCTCACCTGAAGCAGAATAGACAGCAGTGAAATAATGGTTCTAGACAGATTCTGTGAAGGGGCTAGCTCGCATCAGGGAGGGAAAATGATAGATGAAAAGGTCAATAAGCAACATAGGAAACTTAATATGAAGTAGACATATGAATTCCATCACATGGATTAGTGCCCCTGGCAAAGTGCAGGACTGACTGACACTGCTGAATCAATTCATAAATATCCTATATCTAGTGCATAAGACATTTGAGAGCTAGGAGGAGCTTTTACTAAATGCCAACTGGACTTTTAAACTAATTGTATTTACGTAAGTTGTTTACTGTTACTAGTAAATTTTCACTTTTGGTGTTTCTAGTAAAACTGAATGCAGTTTCTTGCCAGTGTATGGCTTCATTGAAGTTACTGCTTTATACTGTGTGTTCCAGGGCATTAGATGGTTCATTTGTGAATGCAAAATCCCTTTATTATAAATGCTTGACCATTTTGTTGTTTGATATTTATTCACAAAAACAAACAAACAAAGACACCAAAGACCATGTTGAAAACCTATGATATTGCTCATAATTTGTCATTTGTTTTCTAAATATAATATGCTTCAGTCAGTTATTTTAATAGTCAATACTCGTGATTTTATCGATTTAAAAAATTAATCTATCAAAAATAAGCCGGACTAAGTGGTAGAAAATGAATGAATATTCGAATCATCCTTCTCAAAAATATTATTACACTATTATTACAATATAACTGGTTCTGGTCAAAAATGGAAAAAAATATTCAATAGCCACAGATGTACAGTACATATTGTAGATCCGCTGTGTGATCACAGCTACCAAACATTATAATTCAAAGAAAAAAGATATAAAATGTTTCTTCCCTGTAAAAGAATAAAAGTTACAAAAATCACACAAGGGGGAAAAAAGTAACACCACAATTTAGGTCACATTATTTTCCACTTCATCATCAGCAGGGAAAGAAGTTTGATATATCACATGTTTCATATAGCTTATCAACCTCCAATTTACTTAGATCATATATATTACAATTAATAATAGGCTTTGATAATTTGCCACAGAGGCCATCACCAAGTGGATGTATTGGATGAAAGACAAGACAGATACCTAAATGCCTGGACGATAACAACAGGATGTGATTTGGACAGAATGTCAGAAGGGAATGAGAAGGTCAGTATTACAGTAACAGAATATGACCTTGGGGACAAACTTCTTACTATTGAAGCTGTTCTCCTTTGGCAGAGCTGCACCATTGATCCTTTGTTCTAATATCATTTAGCTATACCAACATTGACTGAGCTTTACTACAATGTCATTTTGACAGTATTCTCTGGGATATAGCCTGAGCTACCCTTTTTGTCTACTCCATAATTAAACATTCTTTGAAAAGGGGAAGCTTAAGGAGCTGTGATATTTATCAAATCATGTTCAGGTTAGGGCTTAAAGCAGAGTTAGAAAACGTTGTGTAACATTGTTCCTTAAAATTCCTCCTGAAGTAGAGTTGCCATACATGCGGCGGTCAGTGCATGGTCCCATGACTTCAACATCACTACCATGGCTTCCAACTTGTAATTTGATTTAGCGAGCTTACCTTTTCTACAAACGCCTTTCCTCTTACTGTGACCTGATCTAGCTAGTGATCATTGCCATGTCAGTTAGTTAGAAAAGTTTGCAAATGTGCAAGCTTAGATATAATGAGACTGTATAGGTGGACTAGTGAGGAGACAAGTCTCCATATTTGGAGTGATATCTCTGACAACCTCTGTAGTCTCATTTAGTCAACCACCTTCTTTAAGACATGTTAAGCATAATAAATTTGTGTAGATTATTTAGAGTTTTAATTTTTAATGTATGAATACTATGATTTATAATTTGAAAAAGAAATAAATACTTTGATAAAACAAAGTGATTATTTTTAGACTAAAGCTATTAAGCGAGCACTGGTGATCTGATTCAGCCAATTGGTGCAGCACCCGTTGAACTTCAGATCTTATTTTTACTTCCTGTTTCCTGTTAGCCCAGAATATTTGTACCCTAGCATTAACCAAGGGAAGCATTAGCATTATTATAATGGATTGTTTTTTATTTTACAATCATCCACAGGTGGAGACTGTATCATAAAGAAACAAGACTGATTGTGTTTCTTACAGGGCTACTGCGTCATTTGAAAAACTACACGAGGAACAACAGTGGAGACTCTTGAACCAGTAACCCAGCCTGTTGGCTATAAACGCTGTTAGAACAAGGGCTCTGGATAGAAGAACACAGATGCCTTCACACTCAACCACAACAACAGATGCATTGTTTTGTTATGAAGATGTCTAATGGTAAGTGCATGAGTTTTTTCACCTCTATTGTCTGTTTTGAATTTAATGCATTTGGTGGTTGAGACACATATCCTGACTCCTTATAGTTATTATCTCTCTGTGATGCTCATTCATATTACATTAGGTCTAAGGAATAGTGTTGATTCATTAGTCAAGGTGATAGGCTGAAATCTGGACCAAATGTCTCTGTGGCTTGTTGTGTGCAAGCTCTGACCCTGGCATAACTGTGTGAAATTGGCTTGTGAACCTGAAATATATATCTCATAATCTGAATATCTTGACTTGTGTTTAGCACAGAATTGCATGTGCTTGTGTGTGTGTGGGCGCACATTTGTGCACTTTTGTGTATGTGTGTTGGGGTGTTGCAGTACAAATTAAACTGTGGCACATTAATGGTAAACCATAAATTTCAGAGCACCCTTGCTGAAAAGTCAAGCAACCCCAACGCGCCAGCAAAAGAAAATCTCTGGCACTGCCACTGATGCACAGTGGTGAGTTAAAAACATTCAGCCCCTTTACTAATGTAAAGAATATGTGCATGTCCCTAGTGAGTTTGAAAGGTAACACTTTCAGTTTCCTATAAAGATTGTGAATTAGTCTAAGTGAATTTGAAACAGAGGAACGGACTTTGTAGAAATATGATGTGTCTTTAGAACTGTAAAACACCACTTTATGTTGATAAAATTCAGCAAAACTAGATAAACTATTCATACAAAATGTTAATTTTGTTAAAAGAAATGTGCAATTCTTCCAAATCACTGTATTCTGTGCCCTCTGAGTGAGCATTCTAAGCCCTTAAGCAGTGAAATTGACACAACTCCTGTTTGAAAGTCATTGCTTACCATATTCCATCTCTACCTCTGCCAAGGACGTGGGTAGATTTTTTTTACCGGCATTTGTTTTTGGTTGATTTGTTCACAGCATGTTTCAAAAAGTAATGATTTTGATTACATTTTTGAATACAGTCCACAGAACAATTAACAGCATCTGGATCCAGGAATTTTTTTAAAGGATTGCTCAAAATTGTGAGTGTTGGAAAGGCTGTTGACTGTATGTGAGAACCTTCTTGGGGTGATAGTGTGTAGCTGGGGTGCTCAGGACTTTCAGAGAAGTTGAGTGGTGCTAATACGTGTAGCAGGAGGCACATTAGCAAATGGACTCTAAAGTGGACTGACATGCAGCCAAATGGTGTGAGCTGTGTGTGGCTATGAAGGACCCATAAGTGCACATTGTAATTTCAGTCTGCATGAGACATTTATTTAACCATTCATGGCATTGTCTATGATTTTTCTAATAATGATATCACTGTGATTCCAAATGCTAGGGTACATTTTCATGGTCACAGAATCATATTATGGGGGGTCGAACTACAGTATCATGGGAATATACTGTAGCTTTGAGGTGTGATGGCATTATGGGGAAACTGATTTTCCTTGGTGGAGGTTTGCTCTCTCTGAGTGCTGTCTAGTTTTAATATTGTATGGCAGGCACCCTGACAAAAGCTTGTGATTGGGAGGGAGAAGCACACCCTGTCAGCATTACACTGTTTGTTAAAGTTGATTTAGAATCGACCAATGCCATTCAAAATACCGAGGGGCGAATATTCACTCAGGCCTGGTCTTTCCTCAACCAGTTACATTTCACTCATATACGTATGCATTCAGAAATGTGAACGCACACACAGATGTGCACCCCTACACTCACCAATTACTTTTGCTGCATGATAAATCTCATGATAGCAAAAATAAATTAGTGGGGCAGATAATTAAATTTACCTTAATAGCTTGTGTTCTTTATCTGCCATATTGACTCTCTTTGTTAAAACAAGAACATAAATAACATATCCAAGCAATTATATGATTCACTGCCATGAGGTCTGTCTGTTTGTCATTTTCATGATTAGTGCTGCTGTCCTCATGCAGGTTGTATCTGTGTTAGAGAAATGCACAGCAAAACATTTTTGACTCTTGATTGTTTTATTTTCTAGTATTCTATGTTACAAGTAGCATAGTTTGCTATTTTAGTGCCAAAGAAAACCATTTTAAATCTTGATGATTTTGAATGTCTTGAATTCTTCAGAAAAATTTAACAATCAGGTGATTTTTTTGGCTCATGTAAGGTTATACTGTATTTGGGAGACTAAGTTTTTACAGGGTAGCAACATTATGTTAAAGGAGAAAGTTTAGACATTTTCTGTCATTGTGGACTGTGGTGAAGTTTTGGCAGCTCACAGAGAGTGTACTTACATAGAGAATGTTTCTTCCAGGGTAATACTTCACTTTGATGGCAGAAGCCGTTGGCCTTGAAAGTACGTTGGCAGCAATAAAAATCTGTGAGACATTTGTCTGTTGGCAACTTTTCAATGACTCAGTCTTGGTCAAACTACAGGCCTTTGTATGGTATGTACAATGATGGAAACTGCTATTGTTAGTCACATTAAAGGCTTGTTCCTCTGTCTTCCTCCCTTTGTTTTCAAAGTTTATGTATCTGCAATATGACCACAGCAGTGGGTATCATGTGGGGACATCGGCCCCTCTCTGAACTCAGAGACACAGCTGACGAAGGCAATTAAACCTTCTGACAGCATGCCTGCATATGATTAGACCATCCTTTAGAGGTTGGAATCCCTACCTTATACTCTGAAACACCAGCCAAAAATGAATATGCAGTCTGCATCAATGAGGAGTGAGGAATGGAACGATCAAATAGGAATCAGCAAGGGAAAAACAAACAAAGAGTTGCTAAATAAGCTGGGCAACAGGCAGAGGCCTTTTCCTTGGCTAATGGCTAGTGCAAATAAAATGGGCCTTGAGGGATTTAAAGGGCTGCGGCTGACAGTTAAAGCAGTCTAAAATTCACATACAACAAGGTGAGAATGTGATTCATCCCCACAGCACCAACCTAGACAGGATGAGAGGGTGTAAATAACAGGCACTCCCCAGAGATGTGTGCCACATAACACAAAGACTCCCTGGTTTGGGTGTTTGATTTGTTTGAATGCTACCTGACATTTACTTAATCAGCTGCAGAGAAACTAGCTTTAATGGTAGTAGCTTCTGTCTTTCTGTCTGTCTTTCTCTATTTGAGGTGCTACTGCACACATGTCTACTACATATATTCAATTAAAACATACTGCATGTTATAATTTGCTTGTGTTATGTATGGTGGTCATGCAACTTTATATAAAAAGCTAACCTAACACTGAAGCACTGCTACAGGATGAGTGTTTGGAGTCATAGTGAATTCATGCTAGCCTAAGGTTATTCAGGAAAAACAGCATTCCATTTCCACTTATCTCTTTCTGTTCTTACATATCTGCTCCGTAATACCTTTCATCACATCTCAGTTACCTTAATGGAAAACATAAGAGATGCCCTTCTAATGTTTCCCCTTCAGATGTTTGCCCTTTTTCTGCCTCTCCATCTCTCTCTTCCTCCAGACCAACCAAGTGACACAGCAAGTGGTGTGACTGTGTGTGAGAGTGGAACTGTGCATGTGTTGTGCATCTGGGCTAGTGTTACAGCTCAGAGCACAGCCCAATGCACATCTGAACAGTCTGTTTTCAAGTGGCAGTTGAGTGGCAGGACAGTAACAGTGCTGTCTCAGATCCTCTGTCCGTGTGACACAATGACTTTGACAGCCGTTTACAATAAGGTGTCATATTGTGCAGCAAAGGATATAAAATTGGGCAAATTGGTCAGGTCAAATAACAAATTTTATTTCTGAAAATCATGTGCATAACTTAACTGATAAAGCTACTGAGTAAACAATTTATTAACTTTTGAAAAACTTTATGCCACAAAAGTCCCAAGCCCACATGAGACATGTCAGTATTTACACATAAACATATTTCTAGAGAACTGGGATGTGCATGTATTCAAATAAAAAGCAGCATGAGCCATGCTTTAAATATGCTTTTTTTTCCTAAATGGATCTTTTCCTAGTAGCAAAATAGATGGAAACAAGTAGCACAAAATTGTTATTTTGCTGTAAAACATCAAATGACAAAGGTCTAGGTGGATGGGTTGGATGAAAAAGTAAGGAACTTACCATAACCAAATAGTTTTACATCTTAGCCATAAAGGCAGCAGATCAGAAAATACCAGTATCATGTTTTAAACTTCCCTGAAAAATGCATGAAAGAAAGACCTACAAAAATACAAAAATACATAATGAGAACAGAACCAATGGAACTGTGATTTGCATAAAGAGTAAACAGGTTGGTTTTTTATAGCAAGATAATCCCAGTAGCAGTGCAGTAGGTTACCACTTTAATAGTAATGTGGAAAAATGCACAAAATGACATACTACTTAGTGATCATAGAAAAAGCTTTGCAGTGCAACAAACCACTAATCAAATGTCATAAAATAAAAATCAGAAAGCAAAATAAAAGTCTGACAATAATTGGGTTGTCCAGTTTATCCCCTCCAAAGTCATTTTTAAATTAAAAAAAACTCTTTGAAGGGCTAGATGGTTCAGCTCTGACATGCATGAACCGTTAAATTTCAAAAGGTTGAGATGGTGCCACGGGTGGCAAAGCTGCATCTGGCATGGTACTGAGAGGCCTGTGTGGTATCTAGACCACATCAATTCCTGATGACATCATCCAGGATCACTGGGGCACAGAGTGATGTCCAGTGATGACTGTTAGGGTCAGGTGAGAAAATGTTTAATGTCTGCAAAATGTCAAATAGAGAAGCTAGCAGTCACTTATTTCAAGAAAATCTATACACCAAAAATGTCTAAATTTTTTATTTAAATATTTTATATCAGTCAGACTATATGGGGAAGCAAAATCGATGTTTATGTCATATTGTATGTAATACAACACATTAGATTAACTGTGCACTGTGATGAAATCCTGCTAATCTCTAATGATGTTTCTAAAATATCTCACAGTTATTACTATATGGGAGCTAGTTTTGTTGTTGTTTGTTTTTTCTTGCAAGGTGTAAACGAGACCACTCTTTGGCATGTTTTTTTTTCTCCCATCAATGAAATTGTTTTGCATCAACTGATTACTATAAGCTTACAGTTAATGCAAATGTATATACAAATAATAATAACACTCATAAAATATATGTAAAAGAAGTTGTATTTTTTAAGGGTGGGAAAAAAGACCAACATATTGGGTCTCTCTGGTATTCGACTTCACCAAATGTGTTGACCTAATTCAGTCTGAAGTACATATATGTTGGATCAAGAGGCTTGTGATGTCATTAGTCCTTCTGTTATAGTCCAGCAAATCACAATCATGCAGTTTACCTTTTTAAAAATCTTTTTTTAAATTATTTAATTTATTTATTTGATGTCTTACACCATCCCTGCTACTTAGAACAATCTACACTGTCTGGAAAGGCATGCAGTTGTTTAATTTTTAAAATGTAGACTCTCGATGCAAGCAAAACACATCAAAATTCTATTCCTCCACTGTATTCAGATGGCAACATAAATGTCACTGGCTGAGAGCTCCAAAGATTGGCAAATATAACCAGAAACTAACTGCATGGCTTGATGGCACTTGGAAAATTTGAAAAAATATGTTGATTTGTGAGAATTAAAATTTGTCGCAGCTTTCACTTTGCACCTGTATTCCAATTAATCGGTTGTCTGGCATGTTATATTAAATGCAACGTGCTGTCAGTGTGAGAAAAACAAGAATTTCCCTTGGAGAGCAGACAGCACTCGACAGACGACTGCTTGTTGTCAGACTTAAGTTATGTAGGCCAAGATATGTAGAATGGCGAGTACAAAGGACAGCACTCAGCACCACCGCTTTAAAAATTGTTCATAAATACTGCAGGGTGACACTTTGTCTTTCTGCTGCACTGAGCCCACCCTCGCTTACAAGACAGCTGTGCTTTGGCGATGTGCTTCCCAGCCACACACAGCATACACCCTGACAGGGTCCGTATATTCTGATGTATTGTTGTTAATGTTTAAATGCTTTTACTGCCATAAAAAATACACAGTAATCCACTTCTCCACAAGCATGAGACAGAGAAACAGAAACATAGGATGTATGAAGATTATTTGAGGGTATACTTTGGAATATGACTAACTAGACTGCACAGACCTACAAATCTGGTATCTTTACCTGTGGAATTGTAGCATTTGCTCATATTATTTATCTAGTTTGCACAATTGACAGCACAAAGCTTTGCATATACAGTAAGATTCCGTGGTGGAAGTGATGATGTGCTAAGCTCTTTAAGGTCACAGCGGTTTCAAATAGCAGAGCAGGTGAATCACACACCAGACACACCTGATTAAAACTTAAACCTCTCTCCAGGAGATGTTGCTTAGTTAGAAAAGGCATAATTTAGGGGAGTAAAGTCTGTTTTTGACAGGTGAATGTTGGGAAGGCTTGCATTTCAGCACATAGCCTGACACTTGTTTACATACTAAGTTCAAAGCTGTCCAGCTAACAACCTGATATAGCTGCTTAGTAGGATGAAAAGTAAGACCCAATATAAACCTTTATTTGCATAAAACCTTTGATTTAACACAGATGAATGCACAGGAGAGAGCAACAGCCGCTTTGTTGAGATTAAAAGAGTTTATTTGTCACATTAGTCAGAATTACCTGTGTTGATGTCAACTGTGTGGGATGGGAGTGGAGAAGGAGGCACGTGGAGTGGAAAGGTGAAAGAGAAGCACAGCAAGGGAGAAGCAGGGTAGGTACAAGAAAAAAGAAGAAATAAGGAAAAGAAGAAAGCGATGCAATCATTCAGCACCTCATTGCCTCACAGGGTGCTCCCTCACCTCTTCCTACAGATAATAACTAGCTTTGCGCACTGTGAGCCACAGGAGAGAGGAAACGCTCCCTTTGCTCTGGCTTCCTACTTCTTAGGGGGGCTTGATGTGTCAGAAAGGAACCCTAGCAGCTCTGCTGGACTGAACCTCTTCTCCCCTCAGTGTGGTGGCTGGAATGATGTCTACTGTGACAGCTGGAGGTCTGTTGTGTTGAAGGATGGCTGCGGCGTTAGATAAACTGCCAGCTGACGTGTGCTTTAGAGGGAAATGGGATCTGATATACAGGAACTTGTGTAAAAAAAAAAAATAAAATAAAATAACTGGACCAGACTGAGAAAGAGACAAAGTAGGAGACTAAAGGGGGAGAAATGTATGGCAGGATCATGCTGACCATATGTCTGCTTGCCTTCTGCAGTAAGCTCTGCATGTCCTGTTGATTAGCTGGCTTATTGGTCACTGTACTAGCATACTAGTCACAGCATCATAATTCTACCATGTAGACAAAAAGGCGGGGGTGTTACTACAGATGAACAATGTGACATTGAAAAGGTCAAGCTCTGTTGGTCTCTTTGTAAAATAAAAGGGTAACTTTTTATCAACATATCTACGTACTAATGTAGTAATTATACTGTAAACTACGTTTCTATCTTCTTTCTATTTCTTTTTGTGTGTGCATGTTTGTAGGAGGACAGAAAAAAATCTTTGAACGTGCACCTGGACTGAATCAAGCTCCCCCTTTTGTGCTGCTAAAGTCCAATTTTCCCTACCTGGTAGTCTCTGCTGTGCCAGATATCACTTCTCAGTTCTTACAGACAAAACCTTTTCCTGCACCCGGTTTTGTTTACCCCTTCTCTTTTATCAGGGTCAATTGGGTAACCAGGATTTGCTGGGATAGTACGAGAGTTTCATGATTGTTCTCTGCTCCTGCTTTTGCTGGACACATTTTTATTTGCCTCTGTTTTGGACCTCTGCCTGCTGTTGTGTAAAATGAGGTTAGTCCTACGCTAGTAAGCTAATAAAGTTATGCGCCACACTGCTGATACAACAAGTTTATGCTATATTCCTTCCTCCCAGTTTTTTTGTCTCTGCTCCTCTTGACTTCACACTCTTTTGCTAACTTTTTACTTCTCTCTCATTTGTCTCCCCTCCCTCTCCCTTTATATCTCTTATCTTCATGTAGCTCTATAACCGTGTCTTGCTATTCTTTGTGGATTGCAGTGTTTTCCTGATATTAGAGTCACATGCTGCCTCTTATCCAAATATAAGTATGTGGGAGGCCTCCACATTTAGTTGTCAGTCAAAACTACGAGCCTCCACTCATCACAGTGTCATAGGTGCTGATGAGAAAAAGACTGTAACCTCTATTTTCATACGAGCTTTCGAGAAGAGCTCAGCGGCCCCATCAATCCTGACACCATCAGCCTGACAGAGCCATAATAACACAAATCGCTGTGACTTTCAAATGCAAAATGAAGGTAAATCAGTAGTCAGCTCACATCTTCTGCCATTCTCACAAATGAGGCAAGGTGATGCTACTATGAATAATAAAAATTACTTTCATGGTTACATTATATTTTAAAAACAGGCTTAGAAGAGGAGCTCAGTGCTTGTTTTGTTTTTCAAAGCAATATATTTTCAAATGTTGACATTACAAGATTGGTTGATAAGATATTTCTACTTGTGTACATCAACAGCTACAATGGGCATTCGAAATCTGGAGGATCTGACGCCTACCCAGGGTTTTACACTGACCATTATGGCTTTTTCCTCCGTTGGTAACTGTGAAGCTTAGCTAGAACAATTGATTCAGTGCCTTGCTCAGCTGCACTTTGAGAGTAGCTGTTGTGTCTTATTTACTCAGCTTTTTGTAGTCAGTCCACAACTGGACAATTTTCAGTCAGATTACTTTCTCTAATCAGTCAAGTGGGCATAATCCTAGAAAAGTATCAAGCTGGAAAATGTTTCTCTTTGTTTAGAGGCAGGGTGTCGAGTGATACCAGACTGGGCTACCCACCGTAGGCTGGTACCAAATAGCACTGACACACACAGACCTACTACATTGCAGTGTGTTGTTTTAATAGTTCTAGTTTGACATGTTTTCCCTTGTTTCCCTGTTTCTTTTTTCCCACCTCAACATCCCTTCAGAGTGTGTTATTTGTGAAAAATAGCTATTTAAATCACTGAACTTGAACAAGCTTCACCCATCAGCAGATTTTTAAATGTTTTCCTCATCATCATTCCAGAAACAGGCTAAGGGTATATACAAGTGAAATCCTGCCCAGAGGCTGTCCTTGGATTATTTTATCAGTTGTAACCATCATAAGACCACTGATCTGAGACTCACTGCAATAGCCACAACAGCAGGCTGGTTGTGGATTCTAATGTTTCAGCAGCACTGACATTACTATACATACTTCAGGTGCTAACTTCTCCAAACACCAACACAATCATCAGACAGGGATTTCTTTAGAAATCAGAAAGTATACTATTTTTATGTTGTTTTTTTATTTTAGAATTGTGCCAATATGCATAAGAAGCCCTCAATTAAAAAAATTAAGATATTTTGATACTAATTTTCCACCACAGTTTTATGTTCCCACTCAAAAGGTTGAAGGCAATGGAATAAGATGCAAGGGAAAAAAATACAAGGGAGGGAAACAGAAGAATTTAGGGAAATTGGGATTCACCTATATTTTCTAACAGGAGACTGTACTGTAACTTGAATCTATGGGTGCAGTACAGGTAGGAAGGATTCTGGGAGACTGAGTTCATGTGGCTGTAGGAACCCCTACAATATTAACCACAGTAGTTTACAGGAAATGGGTTCCTAATGAGGCAAGGGCAGCTTACTATATGCTTCCTGTAATAAACAGTGAAAAGATGAACGACATGAATGTTCTGTCGATTGTTATTTCAGGTCAAATTCTGGTTTATTTTATAATTTAATTACCTTGGGATTTTAAAAATTCAACATTTCATTGTTTATTTTATTTAAAATGTTTACAACAAACCCCTCACTTTTGTAAAATAATAGTAACAATAAGCTGATTTTCTGTCTGTTCTATTTGTTTGTTTTTGTACAGGAAAACGATGGATATCCCTAAAATCAGCCCATTTTTCTAAGCTAGCAACAGGCCAAGAATCACCATAGTAACTGCATGGGTAAGTAGGATATACTGCAATACCTGCCACACTGGTGTATTCCTTAACTGCAATAATGAATCTGTCTTTTATTTTATAGCATGATAATGTCACATACCACAAGGCTGCAACTGGTCAGGAATGGTCCCACAAACATGACAACCCCAGCAAACTACTGCCTTCCCTGTCAGCACATCTCATTAAATAAGCAGCAGACTGGTGTAAGCAGAAATACCACCCTTCAAATGGAAGGCCTAGGATCCAACTTGTTTACAGTAAATGTCTCTGATAAAGACAGAACCCCAGTAATCCATAGCAGCTATGAAGGAACCCCTCTGTCCTCCCTGTGAAGGCAGAAAAACAGAATCAAAAGATCACTTTTGATTAGTAAAATAACCAAAATGGGATTAGATAGAAATTTAATGAACATGAGATTAAACTTGTATAATATGAGTAGCCAGCATGTTTTCATTTTTCACTTTTTTGTCACCTGTTATGATCTGCACAGCATTCAACTAAGCCTGTTTTGAGGGCAAAACAAGGTGTAAATATGTGGTAAAAGATTATCCTCTAATTTGAAAGATTTGAATGTTTTTTTACACATGTTGCATCCTATAATATCTACCAGAAATACTAAGATCACTGATGCAGATGGACCTGTGCTGCCAGTATCTACCAGCAATCAGAGGAGAGATGTGTTTAAGAGACACTTGCTAAATGGAATTTCAGGCAGATATCCCCCAGGGCCAACTGTCTTGGTTTAAAGTGCACAAAAGTTTGCAAAAGATTAATCAAGTTGAAATGGCATAATGGAAACACCGATTAACACCTTGATATTACAATATGTGTTTCATTTGAAATCTTCTGCTTGTAGATATATTATTAATATACTGTACCATGTACCTCTTGTGTGCCACCTCTCTTTGGATGGGAAACACCAGAAGAATGACCGTGCCTCTTTTTTTTATGTATGACATAAGGAAAGCAAAAGTAAAACTGCCATGTCAACACAGACAGTTGTGTTGACAGAACATTTACTGAAGAGGACAGGCTCTTTGGAAGATTATGCATCACCATCATTTGGATTAGAAGAAAATGTATGGTGATTCTTTTCCTATTTTTTATTGTAAGTCAGTTTGTTAGATTCATGGTCCAGTCGCTCAAAATATAAAACACAAACTATAGAAGCTACTTTGTGGTACACATGAAAAGTGTAAAGCTTTAACACATCTTCAACCTTGGTTTCTTTTTCTATTATAGGCTTTAGTTTTGCTACAACCAAAACATGCATCCTATAAATTTGTACTGAAGTAAAGGGGCACAAGTTTATTGAGAACAGTGGGAATCCACATTCTGCCACAGCTTAAAGGTTTTTGGGACTATTTAGCTGACTGTATCAACACTGGTGTTTTTAATTTCAGGAAGAAAGTACACCCGTGTCTGATGTTAAAGTACTCAGAGGTTTGTCTTGGGAAGACTGAAATAAAGGGATACAAAATATAATGAGAACAGTGAGAATCCACTGTCTGCCACAGCTACAGTAAAAGTACTAGGCATCTACTGTACTCATGCATGCTGCTACTTGTCATTTTTTTATTGAATTTGCATTCTAACGTTTTATCTATATACTCTACTCTATATGCACTTACAGTTTAATCTTTCTGTGTGCATTCTGTATGCTTTTTAATGTTTTATCCTTCTATGTGTATTGTGTTTGAATTGTCATTGTGCTATATAATGTGCCTTGCCAATTGCCTTTAATAGCATGAGGACAATGTTGCTGTGGGAAAACACTGCAAGTGACAGTGTTATGTTAAGTAAAGCCAAACTGTGCTGAAATATGTGTCAACCTTGTTGTGATGACAGAACAACATGTTCTTTCCCTCTTCCATACAGTTTTTCTTTCCAATACTACAGCAGGAAGCTTAAACAAGTCTTAAATATTTCAGTTAAGCATACGTACAACTTTATTGCCAAGTATTATCAAAAATACAAGGAATTTGACTCCGGCCCAATGGTCCCCGATGTGCACAACAAGAAAAACAGAATAAATACAGATTATATAAAAGATGAGAAAGCACAAGTTAAAAGAGCAAAACATAGACTAACTGTTCAGGAGTATAATGGCCTGGGGAAAGAAACTGCCTCTGTGTCTGGTTGTTTTGGCGTACAGTGACCTGTAGCGTCGTCTAAAGTGGAGGAGTTCAAAGAGTTTGTGTCCACGATGTGAGGGGTCTGCACCACTGATCTAATCTGAATATAGTACATGTACTAGGGCACACTGCAGGTACTGTACATGGAATAATTGGGGCTACAAGAGTTGAGTTTTGGAACACATTTACAGATGATGATTGTGATTAAATGATTTATTCATATTATTATTAAACATGGACATATTTGCTGTATAAATTTACATTCAAAATCTGGAATTAATACTATTAGGCTGAAGAACAGAAATTACTTGTGCTGCTCTGTTTAGGTCAGTTTGATTTTGTTTAGATTTTGCACTGAAACAATAGCCCATCACCTTTTAAAGACTGCAGTTGTTTCAGATCGAGACAACTTGCTTTATTCTGCTGGCCAAACAGCAGCTGAAAGAAATATTCAACACATCTGAGACAGCATTTTTCAGCTACACTACCATCCCTTTGGATTTAGACAGTGTGTTGATGTTACCAGGGTGCATTTGCCAAACTCCTGATCAAGAACATCTGTGAGCAGTTTCACAGTAATAGGTTTTGCCCTCAGAGAGGAAAGGGGCTTATGCTGCAGGTGAGACATTTATATGGACAAATGTTAGAGCAATGCCAAGCAATGTCAAATTATGGGTGTCAAAATCTGAAATCAAATTTATAATATACATTAAAACAGCACACCATGAGTATGTGTTTAATAAACATAATAGACTATCTTCTTTCTCTAAAATAATGCTTCACACTTTGGATGTTTGGAGCCCGTAATAGGTAACAAACTCAGTAGTGTGTTCTACTTTGCGTTTTTATCCCTCATGATAAGCTTCATTTGTGGTATGCTGGTTGAAGCAGATCTATACAGTCAGGAACTATGTGCTCAATACAAGGTCCCATAGATTTTGAGCATGTATAAACATTGAGCATGTAAAAAGGTTTTATAATTGCAAACATATTTTATATGTGTGTAGAGATTTGTACTTGTGAAAATGTTTTTGAATGTGTTAATAAAATGATGTTGCATAAAGACTGAAAATAGTTAAGTACATTTGTGAACATGTACATATATAGAAAGCAGCAAATCACATGTGCAACTCTCAAGTTAAGAGTACAGATTCTGACCATATTTAATCCAGATCTAATTAGTAGAATCAGAACTGGCCACAGTAATTACAATAGTGCACAGAAGCAGAAAGATAAATGTCATCATTTCATGCAGGAAATATTTAACAGAAAGGGTAGATATGATTACTCAGTTTCGGGAATTAGGGCTAGTAGAAATAAGTTTAAGAAGTATCTTATAGTAAAATTCAGAAGGAGTGGAAGAGGGAGTGTTGTTAGATTACTTGAGAATAACAGGGCTAATTAACAGAATTTAGGATAATGAAATTATGACGCAGACTACGAACACAAGATGTCAGAAATGCAACAGTGGGATGCCAACTGCTATAAAACACCAGAGAAGAAGAACGAGAAGGCAATGAAGAAGAATAAAAAAGATGAACGACGGCGCGAGCGCTTCTGTTATACTGTATATGTGGGTAGCAGTAGAAAATCAGTGAACATTTAATGTGAAATCCTCTATGTATGCGTAATAGGTAACAAACTCAGTAGTGTGTTCTGTGCAGGTTGTTTATCTGAGGTAAAGCAGTTGTATAGTTCAGAGTTCATGTGGACTACTTTATTTAGAACGTTAGCAAAGCTCTGCCAGGAAGAAGCTTTTAAAGATGAAGTCAAGGCAGATGTGTGCCCGATAATAAGTCCACGTGTGGTTAGGGACAGGTAGCCGTCCAGTACACCTTTGCTTTGCTTGAACACTTTAACAACAAAGCTAATTGTTAAAAATTGCTTATAAGAACATTTTGTACTACAGAACTAATCCCATACTGGATCTGCAGTTGACTTTTGGCATTATGATAAGGTTGTCTTTACAAAGGCACATGTAAACATAGGCTGTCTGGATTAGATTTGCATCTTGTTTTCAACACCATCAAAGTTTAGTAGTGTTTTAAAGATGGTGCTCTTTGACACTGATTTCATTCTTGTAACGGAGTAGCTTTTAGGCAAGTATGTGCAGTTTTGTTGAGTTGTTTTGCCACCTCAGTGTAAGATAGGGCCTCCATTTAGACAAACCGTCATCTGCCAGTCAGTGAACTTCTTGAAAAGCCAGTTTTGTTCAAATTCAGCTTGGTTTTGGTGACAGTGGAAGCGATGCCAGGATTGAATGATGTCAAAAACACTTGATAAATGACTTCAAGTAACTTTAAGTGACCTGTTAACCATGGAGAGAATGGAGAATTTCATATCCAAATCTAGATTACTAGAGCTCTCCATGAGTATGCAGAAATGAAGTTTCTAACTGCAGGTAATTGATTCTTGTAATGTTTTCCTAATTTATTTGTAGAGAGCTTAATGAATGAGGGAGACCACACATATATGTAAAGTTAATTCACTGCTAAGTGCCTATGACAGAGTGTGCAGAAAATACAAAACACGGATGTGCTAATAAAATTAAGGCAATTTACATATATTTACAAATATATTTTGTGACACATTATTGCTTAAAGTAGAATGAAGTTGTCATGCGCTGTTAAATTTTGGGTAAATATGCCATTTTGGAAGCTTATGCTCATTATCCATCAGAGATATACACTACATACATCCAAGTTGTTTAAAAAAATACTATCCCATACAGCTACATACAGTAGCAGAGTGCTTCAACTACACCCAAATACCCACTTTAGTGTTTAGTTTGAGCACAAACAGGACAGAAATTTATTCTTCTGCAGTGTTTGTGCAATCTGTTGACAGCTATCGTCAGCTCCCGAACTGAGAGCTGAGATCAGGGCACAAAGTCTTTTTTTTTTAGTTTGTCACTCTCTTAGACAGGCTCTCTAGTTACACTACAAGTTAGCTAGTCAGCTAAGGTTATCCATTTTGAATTACCACAGTCAGTAAAATGAGATCTAAACAATTTAAGCAGCTTTTTAGCCAAACAAAACAAGAATTTATACAGAAAAATATAATGTGTGTCCCTTCCCAGCATTCAACATGGCATGATGTACCTTCACATTCTCTTTATCTCTTGGTCTATTTTCAAGGTGGCAGTAGCCAGAGGAACCTGTCTCTGGTGACACAGGGAACACACAGGGAACACACAGTAACGCAGCCAAAGATGTTGAAGATGATCACCAACAATGGGAACCATGCTTTACATTGTCCCTCTTCAAGAACAAATTGACACGACATCCCTTCTTCATTAAGCTGTGGACAGGCGAATTCACCAGAACCATGGTACAATTTCATACATAGATTTGTAAACGTTAAACTATTCTCCATCTTCCAAGATAAGTGCTTAATTTTTTAGGATGCAGTGTGTGGTGTTTTATTGTACTGTTTTTTTGTATGAAGGAAGTCTTTATTCTTCTTGAATAAAAGTAGTGGTGCAGGATAAGGTAGATAAAGGTAGGTGAACCTGTAGCAAGTTAGTAATTCCAGACTTAGTTGGTAGGTGAACCTGTAGCAAGTTAGTAAGTCCAGACTTAGTCCAAACTCCTGAGGACAGGAGGACACGGTGCTCTCAATGTGCGACTGGAGCATGGCGTCCCGCCACCAGACTACTGTGCTTTGAATGAGATGTAGCTGCCTGATAATAGAGATAGCTTGGTTGAGTAAGGAACACTCAGCGGTCTGAAAATATCAGAGCAGATTTCAAAATTGGCATTACTTAGATGGACAAACCTCGTATTCACAATCTGAGTGGTTATGTTCTTGCCTGAAAAGAAAAAAAAAAAATCAAAACGCAATAAAGGCCCAGAATACTGAGCTAGTGGAAGGGTCTAGTGCCGTAAAGCTAAACGCAGCTATCACATGAGGTGTCAGGGGAGCTCACCCAAAGTTTCAAAGGGCAGTGATGGATAATCCGGGAATACAGTGCAACAGGCTATATATACTATACACTGCACATTATCTTTGTTGTTGAATACAGTGCACTTGAAGACCTGCTGAGTACATCATCATGTCCGGAACTTGGAGCCTCATAACCCAGTGAAGAAGATAGCCCAAAGCTCCATGGGCTCACACTACAGATGGATGATGTAGCAGATCTTGACATCCTGACGACAATTCAGATGGTGAGTAATACTAAATTATTCACAATGTTGCTAAATGTTTATATTAAACAAATTCTTATAGTTGTAGATAATTTCTCAAAAAAATGTAACATCTCTTCAGCTTAGTATTCCTAAAAGAAATAGCTTGGGATTTTTCAAGTTGCTGTTAAAACAATATTGTTGTGTCCCTTTGTACACGAGAGTAGGTTTTAGTCATTGTTACTTCTCCTGTTCCGCTGCAAAAAATGAGGGACAAGACCCTTGTTCTCTAAAAAACAAACATGTACAGTACTTCAGAGTTTGTCTGAGACTCAAATGCAGCTTCTGCTGTCCCACTAAGGTAATCTGAGTCTATATCTTTCAAAGTTAGTCTATTTAAGAGTATTTCCCTGGACAGTCCCTGGCTGAGCTGTGGTGGAGGGATACATTATAGTAGCAAATATCCATAATCATTTATCATTGTATGGCCCTGTGAAATGTATACAGACACAAGAAAAGGTAATTCCACTGTTTGTGTTTTATCATCTTAGAAATATTGCTTGTTGATAATGTGACTTTAGTAAAGATCAGATCACATTTCATGACTAATTTATGCAGGAAACCAGGAAATTGCAAACTGTGCCATTACTTTTTCTTGTGACTGTATGTAATGGCATACATTTATTTGTTTCTAGAAAGCTGAGTCAATGTCAGTGTTTCACTGTAGGTGAACTGCTATCACTACAGCCGTTTTTAGAAACATTGTCTTACAGACATGAATCTTTAATTTGGCTGATTGATAAATAACATGTTATGCATTTACTTGCACTAACCCCCTCATCAGCTGTTGTTAGCTCGACTGGTGATGGCACAGGCGTGTTTCTCTCACAGCCACCTCTCCTACTGTGGAAATGGGCTCCACATACATGTAACTATGAGCTTTGCAAATAGCATAGTTATGTCCAGTTTGATGACTATTAGGCACAGCTTGGTCCTTTTAGGATATCTCAGGTGCAATCTGTAGAGTACTTTTCCCATTACATGTTTCTTTCAAGACAGCAGGTGAATGCAGACAAGGTGAAGTGCAGATTAAGGAGGAAAAACATGGAGATGTCACACATGTGCAAATATAATCCAAACATAGGAGCAGGTTTTACTGGTGGCCCAAAATCACAAACTGCAAAAATACTCCAGCTGTTAAATCTGCAAGGTACAAACTCCTTTCCACTGTTAACTCTGAACACAACTTTAGTAAACACCACCAGCAACAAACTTACCCATGACTACGATGCATCCCTCCTCTGCAGCCCAGCATGGAACTACTAACCAGGCAAACAAAAAATGAAAATCTGTCTTAGACTGTAATTTTGAAAGATCCATCCATTATCTAAACTTACAACTGCAGATTAAATTTGTTAAAAAGAGAATTTGCATGGTTTGTTTCATGAAGGTGAGGGTGAAAGATAAATGGGTTTTGTTAAAATTGTTCCATTTTGTTTCTTAGGCTTGAGGGTGATGAATCCACTTGACCAGCAGAGGGATACATTCAACAGTCTTGCCTGTTCTAGGGATTTACCACCAATTGGAGATGGCTATCACTTCAGTAAATGGTGAGATAACATCTTATCTTTTTCTTTTCTTCCCATTTCATCTTGGTAGAAAATGTTGACTTGAAACTTTGTGGTGTCCACTCGGCAACATGAAAGTGTGCTCACTGCCCATGTACAAATACTGTGCACCCTAAAGAAAAGCTAAAAGACAAATCAATACTTTGATTCAAATTGAAGCAAATCTGTGAAAACCAAAACTTGATGGGTTGAAATTATAAGATTTATCATGCTTTAAATTCAGGCTTTTGCCATTCCCTCTTAGGCAACCCTCAACCAGATTGTCCAGCCATGAAATGACAGTGATCATCTCTACACAGTGAGCATCCAGAATTGTAGGAAAGGATTCTTGAGGATGTACATTGAGACAGGCAAGTTTCTGTTTGACTGTTTTATTAATGAAATGAGATAAGGTTTTACAAAAAAAAAAAAAAGATACCTTATTTATTTTTGCAGTCACTCTATCCCACTTCAGCCAGCTGCCAACATTTCAGGTAAGATGGGAAATCCCTATAGGCAGGGTACAAGTTGTCAAGACAGAGTACCTCACTTCTTCCACATGATGTTACATTGCATGTGCCTGGATATCTCCAGTTATAAAGACTTCTTTGGCCTGGAGAAGTCTTCATAACTGGAGATGTCCAGGCACATGCAATGTAACGTCATGTGAAAGATGTGAGGTACTCTACCTCGAACACTTTGACTTTAACTGGCTTTAAAACTAAAGCCAGTTAAACAGGGTTCATTGCCCAGTTGGGCAAACTATTTAAGATAGGTCATCTCAGTCATGTGAGAATGTTGAGTATTTACCTTAGGTTGCTAGTAGTAGCAAGTAGACTTCAGCAGCACACTCTCAGCAGTGCAATATTCATAATTGTTTATCACATATTAAAAATGCCATTAAGAGGATAATCACCTGGCTTTGGTAAATATATAAATATATGCTCTGTTCTGTTAGCGTTTGGTCCATATCACACTTTAATTTGTACCTTAACATCAAGTAAATAAAAACAAAAAAGTGGAGGACATTCCACTGAAGCAAGCAAAGTCATTATAAAAGCAGGTAGAATTGCTCATTGTAAGAGTTCCTTTGGTTGGGGACACTACTAAAGTTGGTTTTGAAATTGCCCTTAAAATGACTGCAAACCTACAGGCAGCCTGAAATGCAGGAACGACTACTATGAAGAATGATTAGATGTTTTAGAGAATTGTATAACCTTTTGCTACAAAATAGGAGATATGATTCAACAACAATGGCACCTGGATGGAAAGTAGTGTGTCTGGGACTCCAGAGCTGTGGATGCCTCCTCAATGACTGTTTCAAGAAACAGAACCTGTAATAAATTCAGAGTTAACTTAATAGGTTACTCAAAATTTTCAGACAAGTTAATTTCTGGATCATACTTTCATGTTCTTAATCAAGACATTTCAATGATTTGCAGATGATTGTAAATAAATTCTGGGGTGCACAAATCTGTCAATTCTGCCGAACATAACTACACATCTGTACTGTAAAAACAATTGGAGAGATACATAGAGCAGTGTTTTATCATGTTACCCAACAAGTTTGTCCACACTTTAAAGATCTTTTTGCCAGCTGTACTAATTACCAACCTATTTTGTGTTTCACTTTCACTTGAGAGCAATGAAGGTCAATCAAAACACTACAGACTGGAATTATTTTTTTTTAATAAAGCAGCACTGGTTTGGTGAATTTTTGGTTTAAGGCACAAAAACAAACCATTATCATGCAGTAAGGGAAACTGTTATACAAACTGCAGTTTTTTCAGATCCTTTGTTAAAATGTGGTGGATACAAATGCAAAGTGGAACCAGTTGTAAATATGCAGACCTTAAACCGCCATATGACAAACTAAGAGGTTTGTCAGTGGAAAAACTGGGTCAGATTGGAACAAAGAATGAAATGCTGTATGCAATTATAGTATTTTAGGTTAGTTATAAACATTTGAGAATTTTCATTACAACTTATCAAATTTGATCAGACATTTTTACAATTTTGAAATGTTTGTCAGGGAAAATGACAAGAAATAACAGTTTGATCTAGATTTGTCAATGGCAGAAGAATAACAGTACTCTCTCTCACTTGAACCACCACACCCTCAGAATGTGTTTCTCACCTATCAACTTGCGATTGGTGTCGATGTATAGGAGCGACAGAGACCCGGAACACTGCTGGTCCTTCTCACAATACACCCAAGACTATCTACATGGTGCATGGAATCCCACGTTCTTGTCGACTACACTGATGCCCTCAGATGTCCATCATTCGGTGGCCTATTGGAAGATGCATTTAAAAGAAAGTTATAGTCCTCTAATGTCCAAGTTAAAACAATTTCTCTGATCACAGAAAGACAGAAGCCTGTGCAAACACATTTCAGAAAAATCATCCTGAATGCAGGGGGAAAAAAATCAATTCTTCTTAGTAACTAAATGCTAATTTTACACATAAGATTTATTGAAGGGCTATTCCATTGTTTATTCAGGCTTCTCAGCATGTGATGCTCATTGAGGTTAAACAAGAGTTTCAATGACAATGATTTTCTTTAATTAACTCATATTTAATTTTTTGCACAGCTGAGCCCGTTACAGCCCATCCTCCATCCTGTAGAATACATTACATCACCACCAATGCTACACCTCTGAAACTAATAAGATCACATTTAAGAGTCAAGTTACTCCAAAAAAAAGGACAGAGGCATGGCAGCAATTTTCTCAAGCTTTTGTTTTCACTTTAAATCCATCTTCAGGAGCTGGCAAGATTGCCAAAGCAACAGCAGCTAATAAATACCACCTGTGTCAGCCGTCATTGACAGAATTTGTTTTAATAAAAACCTGAAGGTCGTCTGTCATTTTTACTGATGAGAATACTGAGGGCTTTCTACACTAACTTCAGGTTAGGCTACTAAAAAGCCCAATAATTGCTATAGTGTTGATAAACGAGGTGAGAAAAAGAGGGACTGATGCAGTGGATCAAGGACAACTGAGACCATGTTCAACACATCTTGCTAACCAGGAACTGACAGCATGTTGGAGAACCATGAATTACAGTCAATAATACACAATTAAGTGTGCCAAAGAATGGGAAAGCATTCATATGGAAGCAAGTTAAATGATGTTTACTCATTATTTGGCCCCAAAGAGGATGTGTCAGGCCATGCTGTCATAAATCTTTAGAGCCCAACAAACAACACCACCATTTTCCAAAACCACCGTTAATCCTGAACCTGCACCTGAATCCTATCCTCACCCAAGCAAAGAGCAGATATGTGTCTTGACACACAATATTTGCATTGTATTTGCTCAGGTTAAGGAATGGCTGGCCCAACTGGCTTGCAGTGGCAATCACCTCTGAGATCCAGGTCCACTCAACTGTCCAACCACTGACAATGTTCTACCAAGATTGTCAAACAAAAGAAGACTACACTACTAACAACCCCAATGACACAATAACTATATTATCACCAACACAAGCTCTGTGTGGGTGTAGGAGTGAAGGCAAGTCTACAGGGTCATCAGGTAGGCACCTTCTCACTAATTGATTTTGTTTTGCCCATGACACTGAGAAGGCTCAACTGTTTTCCAGCATCCCAGGACCATGCCCCTCTTTGCCTGCACCCACACACCCAACTCAATCCTTCATTAACATATACTGTCTTAATAATTTGGGCTGAATGTTACTAGTCACTGGCACGAAAACATTTCACCTGATGTTCTAGTCACCAAATGTTTAAAATAACAAACATTTCAGATAGCTCACCATAAAACTAGACAAACTTCTGCTTCCTTTTGTGCTGCATCAGAGCCAACCCTGTGTTGGCATTCATTCCAACAAACCAGTCAAAAGTCTGTGTCCTCGTGTTAGCCTGCTCATGCTAACACCAGGAAGTAGGAGCCAAACATGCTGCATGTATCAAAGCTGCCTCTTTCAGGTTCCACTTCCTCCCTGTTGGGACTGATGGTGTTGCATTCTGCACTGCTCTGTCCCTGGATTCTTACAGTGCTACCTCCAATCCAGCTTTAGCACATTTGAACTCCTCTGTTAAACTGGTTATAGGGAGCTCCAAACTCCCTTTTCCATGCAGGGCCACACTGCTGAGGTAGCACAGAGCTCCCAGGTAAAGTACATGCTAAACATTCTCTCTAGCTTCTCTACCTTAGAAACCGATGCGTCATACATTGTCAGAAGCCATAACAATCATATTATCATTAAAAATGAAAATTAAATTGATGGCTAATAATATGTAAATTAAGGAATTTTTATGACCTGTCAAAATGAGGGACAATAAAAAAAAAGTCTAGTGCAACCGCTGGTGCCAGCTGATTGCTTGGATAAATCAATTAAGCTGACGATGTCACAGGTATATACATGTGAGACACAACAACACAAACTAGCTGAACTATCTATAACATTATCCAAACAGCTTCGACTCCTTGGAGGCTTTCAAATCACAGTTCAATAGGGGTGGAACAATATATCCAAAATCTATATATTGTGATACAAAAACATCACAAAATGTATCGTTTTGTCTAGCGATACACATTGTGTGGTATGCCCACACTAGCAACTTCATATTTTTTGTAAATAAGATACCCTAACAGAACATAAGTCAATATACTGTATCTGGTTGTTCTTTACATAATCAAACTTGTGCTAGAAAAGGAGGCAGGTAAAATACAATTATTCCATAGCTAGCCATATATTGTCATTGAATTTTTAAACGTATCATGACTGAAATAAATGGTACACATCATATTGTGCATCAAATCGCATCAAGAAAACACTGTCCCATCCCTACCATTCAAAGAGACAGATACAGACACCCACGTACATATTTAAGGTGGAGGGACCTTCGAATTTTTAAATAAGATTCCATCAAATATTTAGCTAGAAATATTAGCATTAATATACATTAAATACAAAAGCAATTTACCTTAACAGTTACTGTGCTTAGCGTCCAGGTAAAACTAGAGGAGCTCTTTCATTTACAAGACTGCACATCTAACAGTGGATATGCTACTAGTTAAGTCGTAGCGATTTTTCCTAGATTAACCAGGTTTAAAGATTGGTCTGACAGTGAACACGCTCCAGCAAAGCAAGAGTGTAGGCTACTAGATGCTTAACTTACCCATGAAGTTTCTTGCTAGCAGAGGAAGGAAACAATCAAGTGTGGGAACATTGTCTCAAAAAAGAGAAACTAAAACCTTCTACTTTGGAGAAACTATTATTTTTGAATAAGAGCCAAAAGGCTATTTATGGGGACTGGCTCTGGGACCTTCCTTAGACACATAAAGTTCCCAGAGTCAATCGGTGGGTATTAAATATTGTGACGATCTACGTCAGCCATTCGGGGGGGTGGGGTGGCAGCAGCAGCAGCAGCATGATGCAAAGGTGCATCGTGGGAGTTCAGTAGTTAGTTCAGAGAGCAGTTATCAGATTATTGTTAGTGTTCTTATGTGTTACCCCGTTGTGTGTTGATGTTACTGACTTATACTGATGTGTTGTTAACGATGTTTTGCTAGCTGGTTGTGTGCTGTGTTTTGAACCGCAAGTCTGAGTTGTATGTGCGAGACTGACCCCGTTGGTAATGGGATTGCTCAGCAGTTCTAAATAAATGACCAAGAAGTCAGTGTTGTATTGTGGTCCGAGTAAAGGACACGCCCAAGTGCTATCCAGAGTCGTGCGGTGTATGGGGCCTGGAGTAGTCACTAATCGAAAACAGCATAGGTGCTAGCGCCCTGCTAGCTAGTTTAGCTGCTCAGTATAGTTAGTTTCTCTCCTCCACGCCGGGGGTCATTACATTTGGTGTCAGAAGTGGGATATGCGGAGTGCCATCACTGCTATGGAGAGAGACATAGGCGAGTTAGAGCGAGCAGTGCTGGAAAGCAGCCTGCTAATGGAGCACCTCGGGGGTCACCCTGGGCGGAAGAAGACGGCACCATGCAGGCCAGATGGTGCCAGCATCCCTCGATTCTCCAGCCAGCTACGGACTCCCCAGCCAATTCGACAAGAGGACCCCGTACACCGCTAGAACGCACCCCTGCTAAGCTGCCACGATATAACTGGTTAACCCTAGTGGAGCCATATTTGGTACAGGTCAACCTGGCGGCCTGCCATGGGGGATGGAGCTCCAGTGAAACAGCTGTTCACCTGACGTTGGCCCTGGAGGGACTGGCTCTCCAAGTCCTCACCGATCTGTCCCCAAATGAACAGGTAGGGGATGATGGATACATTCACCCAGAAATGAATAGGAAGGAATACTGATATGTCAGAAAGTTGACCCAGTGTCAATGTATGTGACACTTCGGCATAACTCCCATTAAGACACCAGGTTCAGACATTTGGTCTCCCCTTGCAATTCATTCACCACTCTGGCTGGGGCGATCTGGTTCAACTGTTGATTTTGGGGGGGCATTCCATTCGGATTACAGGCCCCCTCGAGGGTCCCGAGAGTGTTTATTGGCCACTGAATGGTCAAGACATTTGGAAAGCCCTAAAATGGGGTGTCTGGGAAGCGCAGTGTGCCAAGTGTCACAGACAAGGGTCTTTAAATGCTTAGATAAAATTTAGATTTGCCATAAAATGCCAAAGGGGTGCTTTAAAGATGTGGGACAGTGCCTTAAAACCCTCAAACGGTTTTGAAATAGCCAAAACATAAAACAAAGTAATAACGGCGTTGTAATTGTCACGGACAAAAAGCAGCTGATTTGCCCGTGTAAAAGCGGCTTTAAATGCTTAAGATTAAATCTGCCATAAAACGCTGAAGGGGTGCTTTAACATGTTGGGAAAGTGCATTAAAATGTTTCTAAATGGCAAACACACACTTCAAGAAAGTGTGACATTTGGCAATCTGGAGGCTGTTATGTTGAGGGTTTCGAATTGTCAAAAAATGAATAAATGTCTGTGGTGACGGAGCGATACACATTAACAGGTGGTAAAATAAAGAATAAATAATTTTTGCCAAGAGTGAAACGAGATGTGAACCCGCAGGGTCTGCATGCAAACGCAGCACTTTAACCATTAGGCCGTCCCTGGTACACTGGGTTAAGGCAAATCCGCTGCTTTTGTCCCTGACATGTTAAGGGTTTCGAATTGTCACAGAATGCAAACTGATGTAGAAATTAATAAATAAATAAATCTATATGGTGCCAGAGCTTTAGTGTCCTTAAACAGCTTTAAGAAAGCAAGCCCACGCAGATTCGCACCTCCGTACTTCACTGCTTGCATGGTAGTTCAAACTTGGCCAAAAGGTCACATGAAACAGACGGTGAGAGAGAGGTAGAGGGAGAGAGTGCATCTTGAAGACAGACAGCAAAATATCTCTTTGAAATAACTACATCATTTTTATCAACCAAATATTCACCCAAAAAAAGTACAAGAAAGTTTTAAAGTAGCAGATTATTTATTTTTCAGGTTATTTGTTCATAATAAGAGCTGTGAAAAATTGGTTTGTTGAAAGTGTTATTTTTATGGCAATTGTAATCATTTTGAAGTGTCACAGTTGAGCTGCCAAGTGTGACTATATGACTAGCATTATAAGCTCTGTTTTTCTGTACAAAGCCTCTTCCGGCTCTTTTAAACCAGGAACTCCCAAAAAGACGAAGTAGACCACTTTAGATTTTATTAAAAAAAATCCATACTGGTTTATTCAGAGAATCACAGGTAAAATTAACATCACTCGTTCAGATCTCTCCCGCCACCCAACCTGCACCCAGGCAGCTTGAAAGATGAAAAACCCTGCACCACAAAACCTATACAATTTTAATGATTTTGGGCTAGCCCCATACTATGCGGGGACGTCCAACCGTGACGTCACCTGATATGCCAGCTTGCAGCTGACCATAATGATAGTCAAAACATGAGGAAAAGTCAAGGTGTGTG